ATATAAATAAAAATATATAAAATTAGCCAAAATCGAGAGGAAAATGAATGATAACAGTTTCATAGAATAATAACATATTAACATATGAACTTACAAAGGAATCACTGGTGTTGATATGAAATAATGAAATTTCCAATGCACAAATCCATAAATATTTAAATAACGTGTAACCAAGACAAAGGTAGTTGTTAGAACTAAAGGAATTCCCCAACCAATTATATTGCAAATAATCAATATTTTATTATTTATCTTATTATTATTATTATTATCATCATCATCATCATCAAATAAAAAAAGAAATTATCCCGGTGTGATCTCGCTCATTCCACTCCGTTCATAATATACGAGTTATATATGCATCTGATTAATAATAATTTTTATGCATTTTAAATTCGTTGTGTGCCAAAAACTAGTGACAGCGTAACTACCCGTTTAAATTATAATTAGTTGATACTAGTGAAAATAATAATAATAATAGTATATATTGAGACGTTTCATGTACGCTACACAGTATCAATAATTATACATAAAAAAACGTGTCATTGTTTTTTTTCATTTTTCCCAAGTAAATAAATAATTCAATTTCTACAACCAAACAAACAACATAAATAAATAAATAAACAATTATCGGAAAAAAGTATAAAAATATCTTATTTGCGTGGTGGTTATTGGTACTATTTAATATTATTAATCGATTTATTAGATTTATGAAAAGCATAATAATCTAAGGTTATTATTGTGTTTCTAAATTTTTAAATCGTTTATACAATTTATACAAACAACCGAAATATTTATTATACATATATAAATATTTACTTTTGACTAATCCTGTCATTATCGAGCATATATATAAACAACATTTTAAAATCTTGTCATTTTATTTTTATTTTTATTTTTCGTTCCACTCCATTCCACTCCACTCCACTCCACCATTTATCTCCAACAACCATTTTTGCTTTTTTATAATATTAACATTCATATCATATTCTACTTTCATTAACGAACGAAAAAAAAAAATATGACAAATAATGATATTAGCGCAGGACGCCATAATATTTTATTCTCTCCATTTAGCTTCGCTACCATTATCATTAACGTTAATAATAGCATATTTTAAACGATTTCCAACAATCTCGATATTATCATTCACTTCATTCTTACTATCACTTAATTTCGTCTTAACAGGAGTTTTAAACATTAATGATTTTATAATTATCAATAACGACAACAACAACGGCAGTGGTGTTGGTAGTTGTGGTGGTGGTGATGCCAGTACAATAAATTGTTTAATCAATGGTACCATAACAATCTATTTTAGTTGTTCATTAGCAGTTTGGTTTATTTGTATTGAAATTGAAATTTGGCTGAAACTTAGGCAAAAGAACCAAATTCAACAACAACATGACATTGAGATTAACAACCAGAATAATGATGATGATGATGGAAAAGTTATTGAATTTGGTGTTTTTGTAAGAACAGATGATGGTGTTTTTGGCGACGATGTTGGTAATCTTGGAAAAATATTATTGAGATTATTATTAATATTATTATAATTCATAATACTATTTCCATCTCCTCCATTTCGTATTTTACAAGGTATTAATGAAACTATTGAAATAAAAAACTGCCTTCTTATTGCTGAAGTTGTTCCAAATGTTATAAAAGTTATAAATGGAATTGCGGTCATCATAAACTCTGGCCAAATGTCATCATCAATTAAACCTTTATTTTGGAAAAATGGTATTAATCTGCTAGCTGTGTGTGTTATTGTTAATAAAGAAAATCATTAGTCTTACGAGAAGGAGAAGGATAATTTTTAAAAAAAATAAAGATATTTTAAAAAATTACCAGAAGTAACCAATAAAGGAACTGATATTATTAAACCGCATATTATTGCTCGATCAATAATTTCCATCGACAATATATTGATATTATTATTGTTGTTCCATGATTTGTAATATTTGATTATTGAAAATAGATTCTTTACTAATAATTTTTTAAATCAATAGATGAATGAATTAATGATAAATGCAATAATTTTAAAGAGTACATAACTCGTCATAAAAATGCCAAATGTTAATTGAAACTTTACCTGATAAAATTATAATTGCAAGCGCTATCGCTATTATTATAAAATAAAAGCTGAACGAATTTTTTTAAAAATATATATAAATATATATATAATTAGCCAAAATCGAGAGGAAAATGAATGATAACAGTTTCATAGAATAATAACATATTAACATATGAACTTACAAAGGAATCACTGGTGTTGATATGAAATAATGAAATTTCCAATGCACAAATCCATAAATATTTAAATAACGTGTAACCAAGACAAAAAACAAATAATTAATACCAATATCATATATATAATTTATAATAGTAGAAATTAGATGTAAAATTTTATTATTTCATTGTTTTATCAATTATGTATTTATAATTTACAATAAAAAAAAATGATTATTTGTAAATATAATATACAATTAATATTAATACTAACCATTTTCGATATTAAAAATTTTGGTGGGAAATTCCCCAATTGGCTGTAATAATTCATTATTAT